GCAAGCATCATCAAAAGCTATGATGTCAAAATATGTCCAAGCTTCTTGTGAAAACCATTGGGAAGGTTATTTACTGGCCTATCTCATATTTCAAGATTCAATTATTCAACTTGATATACTTTTTAAAAAACTTCTGAAGAACTTTTTTCAGTTTGTTAATTTGCAAATTGAGGTTAAAAGCCAATATATTCTGTCCGTTTTCCCCAGTGTGTCTTGCCTCACATTGCAATCAGAGGCAAGTGGAGGGTACGAACATTTTCAAAAAAAACAGTTTCTGCCCAAATTTAGATGTTAAAAGGATCCTTAAGTATTTTACACTACATAACAAGTTAAAACTTCTACTTTCTTGACCTGACAAAGGTAAATTATGGTCAAGTCCAGAAAAGAAGTCATAGCAGGAAAGATGAAAGACCCCTGGGTGGCAGAAGTATTAATGGCCTTTACAGTAATGCAGCATGGAGAAACTTAATTCCAGAGAGCTTTCCACAATTGTTTTAATATTTCTTTTTCTTTATCACAGCATAATACCTGGCTTGACAACAGAAATGTCAACAGTTAGGACTCTATTCTTCACATCATCATGCTCTATTAATGCTGGTTTTCTGTGGGATTCGCCCTGTCGAAGGAGTCACCAAGGAGGAAGGTCTATTGTTGTCTTATCACTAAATCCCTCTTCTCAGTGATGCAAAAATTACTAAGTACTTTTGGTGCTGCTGCAAGACAGAAGGTTAAAACAGTTAAAATCTCAGGTTAGAGTGATAGGAAGTTTGTCCTGCACGTGCCAGATGTTTTGCATGCAAAAGAGCCACAAAAAATTCAGATGTTTCAAAAAAAAAGTAAATAAAAGCATGTAACAAGTGCGTGAGGGCAGGTCTTCCTGCTGTCATCTTGTTTAAGGGGTTTTTCACTACATGCAGTTGGACATCATGAAATTACTCTCACGCACACTTGTATCACCTGCATTTCCGATGTCACTAGCATGTGAATTGTTCCGTCAGTTCTTTCCAGCAAAACATGCAGCCCTGTTTTGCTAGTGTTCTTCCCTATGCAGTGACATAAGGTGGGCTTGGGTCCTAGGAAAAGAATGAGCCCTTAGAAGGTCACTGCTGAGGCCCACTGCCTCGTGGATTCCCATGCAGCTGCTCTGCCTTTACATTTACACAGTTACGTACCTTACTGCATGCACTCTAAGGCTTACAAGGATACCTGCTATGGCACTATACTACCAAGGAAAATTTGGATATCAGCAGAGTGAGGGCTAAGGTTAGGCACTGTATGTGTTGGACTTTAAAAAGCTAGAGAGAGGCTATTTTTGCTGGTAAGTTGAAAGTGTCTCTCCTTTTGTCATGCCTTGCACCTCCAGCATTTGGATCGGCTACTCAAGCTGAGAACTTAATTTGCTCCACAGTGCACATAGTCTGTGGGGAAAAAAGTCACAGTAGAAGTCAAATTAGGAGGGGCTTATTATCAATGTAGAATTGTTTTATAGAATGACCTCTCCACTGCTAAGCAAATATTGGTTTTAGAAAATGAAGTGAGAAGTTTTACTACTGTTGTCGTTTGACTGAATCATATGGCATTATGTTTGGACAGAGGCTCTTGTGCTGCCTTCAGTAATTATCAGTAGCATTTATGAATGTGCGAAAGAATGGGAAAAGCAGATGTGAACCTGTGGGGTAAAACTTGTGTGTGGGCAGCTACATATGAGGATGATTTTCTTGAGTTTTCTAGGACATAGCCATGGGAGTAGCACCTACTTAAAAGTTATTCCCTTTCCATTTAAATCCTTTCAATTTTCCATCCTTCAAAATATTGCTTCTCCTTAAAATTTCTTCTGCTAGAATTCAGGATTTATTAGCTACATGAAGGGTGTAAAGATGAATTTTTGGTCACTTAATTACCCCTACAACTACTGGAAATATTCTCTTTCTTACATCAATTTTATACTGGAAAAATGCTAAGCAACAGTCTTACTTTTGTACAAGTAAGAAGTAAATTGGACCAGCTGTTTAGATGCTAAGATACATCTTAAGGAAAGTATATTGGAATAAATGAGGGGGTCATTAAGAGCAGCCAACATGGTTTTACCAAGGGGAACTCATGTTTGACCAGCCTTATAGCCTTCTATGAGCAAGTAACTGGGTGGATGGACGATGGCAGAGCGGTAGATGTGTTTTTTCTTGATTTCAGTAAGGCATTTGATACTGTCTCCCACAGCACCCTCATAGATAAGCTAAGGAAGTGTGGGCTTGATGATCAGGTAGTGAGGTGGATCAAGAACTGGTTGAAAGGAAGAAGGCAGAGAGTTGTGGTCAATGGGGCAGAATCTAGCTGGAGGTCTGTGACTAGTGGAGTCCCTCAGGGCTTGGTGCTGGGACCAGTGCTGTTTAATATTTTCATCAAGGACCTGGATGAGGGAACTGAGTGTACCCTCAGCAAGTTTGCTGATGATACTAAACTGGGAGGAGTGGCTGACACACCAGAGGGCTGTGCTGCCATTCAGCGAGACCTGGGCAGGCTGGAAAGCTGGGCAGGGAGAAACTTGATGAAGTTCAACAAGGGCAAGTGTAGAGTCTTGCATCTGGGGAAGAACAACCCCATGTACCAGTACAGGTTGGGGGCTGACCTGCTGGGCTGTAGTGAAGGGGAAAGGGACCTGGGGGTCCTGGTGGATAGGAGGATGGCCATGAGCCAGCAATGTGCCCTTGTGGCCAAGAAGGCCAATGGCATCCTAGGGTGCATTAGAAAGGGTGTGGTTAGATGGTCAAGAGAGGTTCTCCTCCCCCTCTACTCTGCCTTGGTGAGGCTGCATCTGGAATATTGTGTCCAGTTCTGGGCCCCTCAGTTCAAGAAGGACAGGGAATTGCTTGAAAGAGTCCAGCGCAGAGCCACAAAGATGATTAAGGGAGCGGAACATCTCCCGTATGAGGAGAGGCTGAGGGAGCTGCGACTCTTCAGCTTGGAGGAGAGGAGACTGAGGGGTGACCTCATCAATGTTTACAAATATGTGAAGGGTGAGTGTCAGGATGATGGAGCTAGGTTTTTTTCATTGATGTCCAGTGATAGGACAAGGGGCAATGGGTATAAACTGGAGCATAGGAGGTTCCATGTGAACATCAGGAAAAATTTCTTTACTGTGAGAGTGACAGAGCACTGGAACAGGTTGCCCAGGGGGGTTGTGGAGTCTCCTACATTGGAGATATTCAAGGCCCGCCTGGACAAGTTCCTGTGTGATGTACTCTAGATTACCCTGCTCTTGCAGGGGGGTTGGACTAGATGGTCTTTTGAGGTCCCTTCCAACCCTTGGGATTCTGTGATTCTGTGAAAGGGAAAGGTGTTTAATAAGAGGGGGTGCACTTAATAGAAAGAGCATTTAGAGACCCTGACTATGGCTAATGTGCATAAAAAATTCAGCCTGTCAGATCCTCACTTTTCTAATTCAGTAATCTAAATAATTTATTTGACATTTTAGCTCAAGATGACCTTTCTTGGGAAAAAATTACTGTTTTAAACTTTTAGCAAGTACAACCACTGCAGAGGATTGCTGTTGAAGTCTGCATTTTCCCAGATGAGTAAAGGTTAATCTTGTACAGCTCAAACAAATTTCTAATCTTTTTAAACAAGTTCACAAAAAGTCATTTAATTTTTTTAATATAATTTCAATTATATTGCAATATTTGTGTTAAATGAGCTTCCTCCCCACCTCCTCTTTTATTTCTGTTGCTCAGAAACCATTTCCCATGTGTTCAGATGGATTTAGGCAAAGAACTTGTTTTCCATGAGTAAAGGTACCATTCTACCAAATGTTATTTATAAGGAAAGTTCTATAAATCAAGTGAAAATACATGGTAGATTAATAGGTGAGTAGGTTAAAACAGCCACTAGTGATAGCAAGAAAATGACTGTCCAGACATCCACAGTTCCCAGATTGGTCACTTGAATCAAGTAATCAGCCTCAGAGCTATGGCACAAAAAATGGTCATGTCTGTCCCTGGATTCCCTTCTTCTAGCTAAACAATCCCATATTTTGCAGAGGGCATTTCCATGGTTCTACTAAAGGACATTTAGTGTAATTTTACTTTGCTATTTCTGATAATTTATCTAACTTTCCGACAGGTCACTTAAAATATCTTTCAATGTAAGGATTAATATACCCCCAATTGTACATAATAAAGGCTATAATTCTCTCAGGGTATTCAGGTGACTTTATAGGGGTACATTATTTATTATTGAAAATGTTAATTTGCTAGAATGGCTGAAACATCACAAAAGCTTCAGTCTGTGCCAAAAGCTGCAGTACAGCTGCCAGCTATGAGAGGACGTAGATAATGAACTATCAAAGAAATAGATGACCAGCCGTACTTAAGCCACCCATGAGATAAAAATGCAGAGTCTAGTGTTGTCTTCAAATTGGATTTTTCTCCCCATGTTATTGTTTCCCACTTATTTGAATAATTTTTGTGGTTCCAGATCATCGTATTCCTCGTATTGGCATGCCACTCGAAGAACTTCAGTGTAGTCAGTGTAAAGCCAGGGTAACTTTGATGTCAGAGGAGAAGCAGTGCACTCAGCTCTGCTGTGGTATTCTCTCCTCATGCCTCTGCTGATGTCAGTTAGTGCTTTCTTTTCTGACATAACAATGAGGTTTCAATCTGATCCACCTGCAAATACCAGTCAAAAAGTGCTACAAAAATAGGGAGCGAAATGATCAGTGAGGCTTATGCTCCTAAAGCATTTTGACAGTTTTAATATCCAACGTAAGTGTAATCAGCCTCTTAAAGGCTTTCAGTATTATTAACTCTTAATTAACAGTGGTTGGATTATCTACCTTGAAGATTGTGTTAGAATTGCAGACACAAAGCAGTTTGCAGGATTTTATTAGATCAGGTGTGATACTATGTGGAAAACTCTGTATTATTTCCAGGGGCAGCTTGTCACTAGAAGTGGTATTGCTGTTCTTGTACCACACAAGGTTAAAACTAGTGAACTCTTCTCCTCTTGGAACCAAGCTGAAGTGTGGAAATCCTGCCTGCCTTGCTCTGCCCCGCAGTCCAATAACTGGAAGCACTGAGCAAAACCACACCAACACAGTACAGGGTGAGTTTGTAAAAGCTTTAGCTGACCCATTAACAATTAGAACACTGCACGTGCATATGTTGCAGTTGCTCCATTAACCAGTAAAATGGAGACTGGACTCATGTGGGAATTACCCATATTTATGCCCACTGGCTACTTTAAGGCATTCAAGTTTGCAGATGATGACCTAGAGTTACTGGATAGGCAGTGTTTTATGCATTGCTTGTATTTTTCTTTCTGACAGGCTTTTTGCAGCTCTCATCCTTCCCAAGCAGATGACCAGAAAGCATAGCCTTGTGCAGAGAAACACTACGGGGCTGTAGTTTGTGCAGTTAATGAAGCGGTATACTGCACCGTATTCATGAGATGCAGATGGTTTTCACTTTATGCAAAAACGGAAAGTGTCATGGCAAAATAGGAGTAGTAAAGCTCACAATGGTATTGGACAACGATCGCTGTTAAACTTCTCCAATAGAGAAAATCTTCTGTTTTGTAGTTCTTTATTGTACAAATACCAGAAGCAAAGATGTTACAAAATACTGCTTTTGGTACTTCAATTTTTATTATTCAGTCTGAAAACTGTTAAAAAGGGGTTTGAGTAAATTAAATTGGACTAATAAGATTAAATTGAGAATTCAAAACTGGACATGTTGAAAATGTGAACTATTAGTAATAGGAAAAAATGCTTTCAGCACTGTATTGGGTAAAGCTAACAAAAGGGAATTGTGAGCAGTAAGCTGCATATACTGCCATATGAATTTTATTGCTATTTGGCATGATTGCAGAGTTAGTGGCTGTAAGAGAAAGCCCTGGTATACCAGCATTGGGGTGAGGGGAATCCTGCTCCCTTGCCAAATATGGCCTGAAGGTAATGTCATTGGTTACTAGCTACTAGTCCTGATTACTTGTCCTGTTAACCTTGTACTAGTTCTACATTTTCATTTCTACTTGTACCCTAAAGAAGTATGAGCTATCTTAGATGAGAAGCAGAGTTTGTAGAGAGCCGTTTCTTAAGCCAATTGATAGTACTCAATTATATTGGCAGTCTCATTAAGATTTAGAATTAAGTGTCTATAACTGTACAGTGTCTTTGACAAGGCTTATCTCTGAAGTTATTTGTTCTTTACTTTTAATTTTAGAAATGTGGTTTTGACTCATGATTGAAGTATGAAGAAAATCTAGCTCTCTGTTCAGAGAATACCTTGAGAAGGGAGGGACTACTCAATTTTTCTCTAAGCTCTGACAGGGGTTTTTGTTATGTAAATTGATGTCCTGTAGCCTATAGGCTGACAACTGTCAGATCTTAATGACTTCTAAGTAACTTGAGTCTGGATTTGATTTAGTAAACTAAAGATGAAACATTTGTTCCTCCCATTAATTGTTCTCTGTAACATCTAGATTTTCTGTTTTGCAAACCTGTTGCTGTTGCATACAGTACTGAGCCTCTGGGAATGTCATCATGATGAAATGGTGATGAAATTATGTTTAAACCTTGATTTCATTCTCATTACGCAAATTACATGTCTCAAAACTGTCTAACTATCAGTTATAAGCTTGCCTGGTGCTCACACAACTTTTCCTGAAAGATGTTTCTAAACATTTTTTTCCAAATTTATTTTCTTTACCCTTATTTATTTCCTATGCATCAGTGATGTCCATGAATTAAGTAACAATGTCTTAGGGCTTTGCTAGTGATGTGGCAAATGGTGATGTTTGTTCTAAAGTTATTTAATAGATATCTCAGTAGTCTTCACAGGGAAATATAGGGAGAGAAAGTACTGAGGTGCAGAAGGACTGGTCTGCTCTGCTTTTGGATACTGATGCTGAAAGGCACTTCTTGGTATTCCTATCTGCAATACACTTAGCTGTGCAAACAAATTCTGTTGAGGAAAGATGGCATTATTTCCCATCTATATTTCCAACATGCAATGAAAAGACAGAATTCTTACCTGACTAAGAGTTAGTTTCCATGCAATGTTAGTCCCCTTTCCCTTTCTTAAAGTGGTTAATTAGAAATGCTGGTAAAGCCATTTGTCAATCCAATGGAGTAAGAAGAAAATAGTATCAGGTGGTATGTGACCTCATGAGAAGGAAGCTAGCAAGTCTCTTTCTTCTTAAACTTTGCCTGTGCTTTTAGATCATTCAGAACAAATGAAATTTGTAGGAATTTGTCTCACCCATTGAACTCCTGATGTGAATGTAGTTTTCTCCTTTGGCTTTATCTGCACAGCAGGGCAGGGTACAGTCCTGATTATAACAGGGGCACCGTGTATTTCTGAACATCCATGAAGATCTCTATTGTTCTTTAGGTGTAGGGCAGGGATATGACCTTACATTTGAGGGCAGTATAGCACTCGAAGGTCTGACATGAAGAACAGTAGAATTTGCACAATAGATTGCTATCTGCTGCTCTCCAGTTCATTTGGTTAAGGTCAAGAAGCTGCTTGTAAACACACAGTATGATTTTCTAAAAAGGCTTCTTGTTCTTTATCCCACTGAGTGGCACTGTGACACATCAAGGTCAACCTTAGTGACCATTAAACGAGCAGCTACTTAAGATGGTGAAAGGCAAAACTGGCTTCCAGATGCAGCTGGGAATGGGTTAGAACCAAGAACTCTGAGCACTCCTGATGTCAAGGAAACACAAGGTCTTAATCAGATGCCAGATTTCAACTGTAGTTTGAGCTATGCATCGTATATCTGCATTTCTGCTTTAAACAGCTTATCAAGTTAATATTGAGTTCTGTGTTAAATCCTCTTACACAGCCCAAACCCAGCTACTTTGTTTAGGTAGCTGAAACCTTTCAGCCAATGAAGGAAAGTCAGATAGAAATAGCCAACTTAAAATATCCGAGGAAGCTTCAGAGTAAGAACCCATCTCGTTTTGGTAATGATATGGCCAGCCAACAGCCTTTTAAGCCAGATGCCTAAAATATGTTAAAGTGCTAGAGGTCTAAAGGTGGACTAAATACCCCCTAAAGCTATGTGTCATTACTTAAAAATTTTGTCTCTTTGATGTACATGAGAATCCATAGATCTGTGTTGTCCCTAAAGAAACAGGACTTCTTGAGATTTGCTGTTTCTGATCTGTGATGGATGATAACAGTTGCTATTTTTTGTATGACCGTCTTGACAACTTGAGACTGTGGCACACAAAACATTAACCTTAAGCCCTGCCCGAAACATATTTTCAAGATACTTGCACCTCTACACGCTGAGGAAGTCTCAAAAAAAGAGTTTCATATAAGAAGGCTGAGTTGCACTTCTGCATTTGAAGGAATAAAATTGGTTTGGATTTCAATCTCTTACTGGAATTACTCAAAATTAATGAGAGTGGAGTAAAGCATCATCTGAATGAAATAAAAAAAAAGAATGTGGGGATAATTAGAGATGAGAATTTAAAGTTCTCTTATCTCTACAACACATTAAAGTTCATTCCATACTGATAGCAATACTGGTAAGCTGTGTGAAATAAACCTGGTGGCCTCCATCCAATTTACACTGCCAAATAAATGCTCCTTCTTCATGGAACACATACCAATTTTAGGTACTCATTGGCATCCTTCTTGTAAATCTCATTGTGGCAGAGGACTGGAAAGGGCTGGACTGCCTAATGATACCCGGAAATGCTTCCTCCATTTCTAGCTGTCTTGATAGGAGTCTCTGTGTGTGAAAGATGCAATCAACACAGTACATAAATTTCCTTTCCCCAGGGATATTAATCTGACCATTTTCAAAGCTACTCAGCTTTTGGTCTTTTGTACAGAGTACACATCAGGCCCCGTATTCAAATATAGATGCTTTGGCTGGAAATGTTTCATTCTCTCCTGGTAATTATTTTTTTTTTCATTATTTCCCTGTCATCACTACTCCTTCTTTTTTATTTAATGAAAGATTGTGATAGGATGTATAGGTTCATGTGAAGTTAATATTGAGGCTGAAGTAAACTTCTGGCCTAAAATTCTCTTCTGAGAAACATAAGAAATAGTATCTTCACTTAGACTCAGAAGTCTGCATGGGCTTTTGTGCAATTGTAGCATATTATTCACCAATTTACTTGTAATCAGACTATTTGATCTGCTGTTTAATGGGTAGCCCAGTAGGTAAACTGCAGAGATGGAGCATTGCATTCAGACTTGTTACAACAGGTCAGGAACCAAAAAATGAGAATGATCAGAAAATTTCTATTTAACTGAAAAAGCTAGCACTCCATTGTGCTATAATTTCTAAATGTCATTAGAGCCACTTATGATGTAAAATTAACATAGCTGTCACCTACATCTAGCTGACGTTAACTCACTCCCTTTGCAGTTTACTGAGTGGGAAAGGAAATACAGGAAGATGAAAATTTTTAGACAGACTTAGCAATTGCTAAGGGAGAAAAAGAAAGAATACACACATATGTACCCACACACACTGATACCTTAATTTTCTTTCCTTCCACCACCACCCGCCCCCCATCTTTTCTTATATGGCTGCTTGATTTGAGAGATGGAATTGCTTTCAGACTATAAAGGAGCCAAAGTTTTTAACCATGACTTGCAACAAGCCAAGGACATTTCTGAAAATGCTTCAGTGGACAACTTGTGGCAACTTCCCTTGTGGGTATCTTCCCAAAACCTCATCCCTGAAGCAGCACAGGTTTGCAGTGCATTATTCCTTGGAAAAAAAAAAAAAAAAAACAAAAAACACAAACCATGAGCATATGGGGAAACCAACAAACCAACCAAAGCTTTGAGAGACATTTGGGGAAGACAGTTTCCACCTGAGGACAATAAGAGAGTGTTTTTAGACTGAAGGCATTCAGCCTATTTTCTGTTATTCAGAAAGAAACAGTAATATCTCTGGTCCCCTCTGCAAGCTTCTCATCCTCAGCATGGCGCGCCTCCCTCCCCCCACCAGCCAAACTTTGCTTAAAACAATGCATTGTGATTTGCTGTTTTATTTTATTTTTCCAGACATAAAGTGTATTGTTATTCTGTAAATGTTTTCTTGCTGTCATACTTTGCAGACGATTTTCTTCCTATTTTTGGAGGCCTGAATCTGCCTTTGGTCACACTATTTGCTCCTCTATGGTCACCTCTGAGAAGATTAACCCTTTCATTAAAAAAGCTTGGCCGGGGTCAAACTACCGCCTGGCTCTGGACTCTTACATCCCTTTGATCTCCCAGCTATGGAGAAATTATTAGCAAATTCTAAGCCTTCCCATGTGATTTGTTTTTGTAAATTTGTAGAAATTATTCCTAATCCTATTACGTGGCCGAGGGCAAACCTGCATTAAATATATGAGACTTTTTGTTATGTGGCAGATGGATAATAAAGGAATGTTGAATGCAGCCCATTCCAAGTTATGGGAATCTGGACACTTCATCAGCATTCACTTAATCCTCTGCCATGGCCTACGCCTTTGATGAATGCTCTCATTTATGACCACTGATGCCACTCACTTAATTTCAGAGAAGAAAAATAATACCTAGCTGTTAATGTGAATATTTGAGTTTATGGCTGTACAATGAATAATTGTGACATTATCAAGGGAACATCTTCTTATACATTATTCACTTGTATAGACCACATTAACCAAAGAGAGGAAACTTGCAGTTTTGCATCTTCCATCTTCTTTGGAAGGTAGACACGATGCAGACAAAAGTCAGTATCTTAACCCAAATTCTAGCTGACAGTCCGTATCAGCCCTCACTATATTTTGCTCATTGTGGTGCCAATCTTCTATCTCACCAATGACATTTTTTTAAAGAAAAAGTGGATTTCCTAGAGACTCTACCCCATGCAACTTCCATGGCTTTTTATTGAATAGGAAAATGTATCCCTCCTTCTTGCTTTAATACTGTTGCCATGTAGTATGTCTGTAAATTCAAGCTGAAAATTAAGACAGCACACAGTTCTTGCTTCTACTTTATAAAAATATGTGTCCTGTATAAATAATGCTCTTTTCATGCATTTAGGAATAAAAATTAATTCACAAATAAAAATAAAATTCATAAAATGAAATCTTCAGAGTTTCTCATTTATAAACTTTCAGCTTCCACACTCAGAATCGCAATTATTAAGGTGTGGAAAACTAACTTGTTTTCAAGAAATCTCTGTTATCTGAGGTAGGTGGGGGTGTTAAGGATGTTTGTAAGATCTCTGATCTCTCTTCAAGTTTCCTTATTTCACTGAGAGAAAATGTGAGTACATTTCTAGTGTAAGCATTATTTTTTTAATTGGAAACACTTCTGCATCTGAAAGTATATTTATTTACTTTGCTGACTATATGGCGATATTTAAGAGTAGGAGTTTGCTATGTTTTTATCCTCCTTTTCTGCAAGTGTAGCAATTTTAGTTGGTATTTAATGGTGCTAAAATTCTAAAAGTAGAACCCTGCTGTCCCTTTTGGTTTTTATGTATAAAATTCAGAGGTAAATTGAAGTTCTGATAACTCATCAGTGTGAGAAATGTGTCTGGATTTAGT